AAAAATATAACACCTGTGTGTATAGAAAGACTTCACCAACAGAGTAACAAGAGAGCCCACACACTGGGAGAGGATTTTTAGCAATGAAACAACAAAGGGCTTATTACTAAAATCTACAATACCCTTCTAGCCTACAAAAAGAAGAAAACAGCTAACTCCTAAAGAAGTGTGCAGAAGACTTGAACAGAAGTTTCAGTAGGGAGGAGACCCGAATGGCAAATAATCATATGAGAGAATGCTCCAGGTCATTAGCCATCAGAGAAATGCAAATTAAAACACCTATGAGATACCACCTAACACCCTTAAGAACAGCCCAAATTAGAATATCAGAGAGCAACAAATGTTAGAGGGGATGTGGCGAGACAGGAAATCTCCACTGTTGGTGGTCACGTAGATATGTACAGACACTGTGGCAAGCCATCTGGTAATATTTAAAACAAAAGGAACTTGAGCTACCTTATGGCCCAGCAATCCTACTGGGCATATACCCAGAAGAGGTAAGAAATAGACCATGACCAGTTGTCTGCATTCCAATGTTTATTGCAGTGCAATCCACAACTGCACAGAATCGGAAACGACCTAAATTTCCATGGACAGACAAGTGGATTAGAAAACTCTGGCACATGCACACAATGGAGTACTATGCATCACTAAAAAGTACTGTTGATCATATAAAGCACGTTTCCTCATGTGAAGAGTTGGAGGAAATTATGCTAGGCGAAGTTAGCCAATCAAAAAAGGGCAAGTACAACATGAGTCCACTGAGTTAAGTATAATCAGCACAGCAGGTATAGAAGAGAAGCCACTAACTCACACTATATGGGTTGAGATACAGGCAGTCAGGTGGAGGACAGGCAAAACATGTCATTCCAATGCAAAAAAGGGGAAAGGGAGGGGAAGGAGGGGAAGGAGAGAGAAAAGGGGGGGGAGAGATGATGGCATTTGGGGAGCAGAGCATTCACCCACCCAGGGGGAGGGTATTGTTTATGTTTCCACATAATGAGAGTGTGCATGCAAACCCCACCACTGTGCACCCACCTTGAGGGAAACACAAGCACATGGAGAAACTCATGAACAGAGTGGTCTACAATCAATATTTTATTTTATTTTATTCCCTTTTTATTCAATCTTTTGTTTTCTCTCCATTATTGTTGGTTTGCCTATTGAGGATAGGCATGGGAAGCAAGCCCCAGGAGAAAGCAATGGTACTGAGGTTCTGGAGGGACTTAGGGGGAGGAGATGAGGGAAGGGAGCAGTGAGAAAACAATGCCATAGACAGGGGAACAACTATGGAATTAAAATCAACAACAAGGAGTACGTAGAGATCCTGGTGGTGTTGGAGCAACAGCAATCTAGCTGAGAGGAACTGTTAAGAGGCAGATGAAAAGCGAGTGTGATGGTGGGGCTGGAAGAAGGTAAAAAGAACCAGAGGGAAAACCTAGGAATCAAAGCTATGAATAGAGGTATAAACATAGGTGTGTACAAAGGTAAACTTATTAATTCATAAAAATATAGGTATTGGTCTATGTACATATATTTATATGGCAATACATCAAGGTAGTAGATGGACTTTGGGCCTCTGCTCAAGCCTTCCATCAATGCAAAAACACTTTGTTCTAACAACCTGGCATTCTGTGATGCACACCCTTCTGGCATGATCGCTGAAGACAAACTGGGTACATAAGCAAATGTGGTGAAGAAAGCTGATGGAGCCCGCCTATCAAAATATACAGACTTGATGTTAAATAAGTGGCTATGTAGCAGAGAAGCAACAAGCTCACATGGAAGAAGCACACCAGCCTATGTGGTCATGAGGTGTTATGGGATCAAGTAACAGGCCATTAGAAGACCCAAAACAAACAAACATATGGTTGAGAATGAGGGGGACCAGAGCAGAGACCCAAAACCCATCCGTAGACAATGGGACATCCCCTTACAGAAAGGTCACAAGGAAGGGATGAGTCAATCAGGGTGTAGTATAGCTCTGATGAAACACACAATATTCCTCTGATTCCTTGAGGCAACCCCCACTATCATGACCCCAGTCCTGCCTTTCACTTTGGGCTAGACCGGAGCATGTACACACAGAATCCAGGCCAGCTAAACCCTTCAGGAACAGAAATGGTAGGATACCAGGAGGGTAGGGGAAAGGGTGGGAGAGGAGGGGAAGAGAAAACCAATTGCAATGATTGACATATAACTACACACCCCCAATGGGGGAGGAACAACAGAAACCATGGGGAAGGGAGAAGGGAGACAGTGGTCGGTGTAAGATATGAAAATAATAATAATTTATCAAGGGGATACGTGAGTGGGACAGGGGAGGAAGGAAAAAAAAGAGTAGTTGATAACAAGGGCTCAAATAGAAAGTAAATGTTTAGAAAATAATGATGGCAACATATGTACAAATGTGCTTAATACAATTGATATATGGATTGTTATAAGAGCTGTAAGAGCCCCCAATAAAACAATCTTTATAAATAAATAAATGCATGGGAAAATCCCAGTATATTTCCATTTTTCCCCATTAACTTTTTGAAGCCTCCTCACATACTGTAGGAAAAAAAGCATCATGATTTGGTGGAAGGGTATGATGAAGTTTATTGAAGAGAGGCCAAGTGGAAGTCCTTGGTCAGTGAGCTGGAACAGAAAGAAATGCAGGCATCTGGACTCCACACTTTGGTGGAGGGCTGCGGGCAGGCAGGGAAGAATTGTTGCCTGAGCTAGACTCCAAATGCAGCTCAAGGGGGCTGAGGGAAGCCAAGCCAAGACTGCTACTACTGCCTTCAGGAAAGTTGCTCCCGTCTCAGTGTTGTAAAAGCTATAGTACTAGGGATTGCAACTGAGATAGTGTCAGCAGTGTCAAAACAAACACCCTTGTTCCACCTTGAGAGCAAAATCTATAAATAGTAGAATTGGACCTGGCTCCCACCAGACCCTTGTACAATGATCTGTCTTCACAGGATGTACCTGGCACATGGGGTCAAAGAAACTGACATACACAAAGTACTCGATAAGTGTTCCTTGAATTAAACTGACTTGGGGCCTGTGCCTGGAACATCTCCCCTCCTGGAACTAGATGTTAGCATTTAGTGGATCAAACCATGGTTCTGGCCCTATCCTAGGCACTTTATATAGAGATTATCTCATTCACCTGGCAAACCCCAGCTCATCCTTCAAGATTCAGCTCAAATGTCAGCTATTCTGTTAAACTTTCTTGACTCCCTCGGGTAGTCCTCGGAGCTTCTGTCCTGACAAATCTTTGCTCAATCTTCGGAAGAGCACTTACCACCTTCTACTTTAACATAACTGTTTACAAGTCTCTCTCCCACTAGGATGTGAGGTCACCAAGGGCATTTTGCTTTTCTTTTTTGGTCACTGGTATGGAGCGCAACACCCGATAAAGTTATTTTTCAAAGCCTTCTTGCAAATTTTCTGACAAATAGTCATATAGAATAATTTACTCACAGAACGATACCTTTTAGACATATGCCAAATAATGTTTTTACATAACTCATGGACACTTTTTCAAATTTTGCTTTAACCATATCACCAATCCAGTTATAATATTTACACTGTTAGATATTCATTACCACTATTTTTCCAAAATTTTTCACCAGGCTTAACAGAAACTCAGGACCCCTTAAGTAATATATCCTATTTTCCCATCTCACCTACCCCTAGTAACTCTGGTCTCTATGCTCTAGCCTAGTGGTTCTCAACCTTCCTAATGCCGCGACCCTTTAATACAGCTCCTCATGTTGTGGTGACCCCCAACCATAAAATTATTTTTGTTGCTACTTCACAACTGTAATTTTGCTACTGTTATGAATCAGGAGACCCCTGTGAAAAAGGGTCATTCAACCCCCAAAGGGGTTGCAACCCACAGGTTGAGAACCACTGCTCTAGCCTAATCAAAATATTTCCTGTAAGTGGAATCATACAATATTTATCCTTTTGTCTGCTATTTCACTAAGCATAATATCTTCATTCATGTAGTAACAAGTATCAGAACTTTCTTCCTGTGGTTGAATAATAAATACTCCATTGTAGAGATATTTTGTTCATTAGCCTTTGATAAGACACATGGGTTGTTTCTGCCAGCTGGCTGTTAGAAATGCTGCTGCATACTAGTATCAGCATACAAGTATTTGTTTCCATCCCTGCTTTCAATTTTTTGGCATATGTAAGGAGTGGAGTTGATGGGCCATATAATAATTGTTTAAATTTCTGAGGTGTCACCATACCTTTACCCTCAGTGTGTGCATCGTTTTACAACCCCAGCAGTTAACAGATGAGGGTTCCAATTTCTTTCCATCATAAACATAACTTTCCCCCCCCATTTTTCTCTTTTTATTAATCATTTTATTGGGGGCTCTTATACCAACCCATAAATCCATTGTATCTAGCACACTTGTACATATTTTGCCATCATCATTTCTGAAACATTCTATTTGAGCCTTTGGTAACAGCTCCTCTTTTTTACTTTCCCTTCCCCACCCTCCCACCCTTGTAAATCTTTATCAATTATATATTATTGTTATTTTCATATCTTACACTGACCGCTGTCTCCCTTCACCCATATTTCTGTTATTCGTCCCCCTCGGCGGGGGTGGGGTGGGGTTATATACCCATCATTGTGATCGGTTCCACCTTTCTCCTCTTCCTCCTCCCCTCATGGTGTCATTATTCCACTACTGTTCTTGACAGTTTCCATTTT